TAATTCAACGATCAATCTCAAACTGTGTAACATGTTATGATGAATTCGATAGGATGGCTTCGCGGCCCAGAAGCCCAGCTAAAGCAACATACTAGGACTTGGAAAAGCTTAAGTTCTTAAATCCTAATATTTTTTTTTCTCAGTTTGTTTAAAGCATTCCGCTTCTGCTGAAAAAATAATTTTCAGCAGCCTCAAATAGTTTGAGCGTCTGTAATAATGCTTTCTGAAAAAGAATGAAATGCTTTGAAGCAAATAGCTTTGCACAATTCCAGTTAATTTGAATATTTATTAAATTAGCGGTACACGACATGGCATGAATCGTTGGGGAAGGTTAAAACCTCTATATTATCTTTCTCAATTTAGTTCCTTATTTTTAATTTCAAAAAGTAATTTGCTGCTTTTTATAAAACAAAGTTGCTAAGGGAAGTGATAAATGAATGTTTAAGATATAAAGCAAAAACAACCTGAACAGAAAAAGATACATAAATAAGCATCCTATATTGTTTCTACAAAAACATCCTACAAAAACAAGAATCTTTTATTATTATCATCTTATTTTAAATTTTTTTACTTGAAAGAGGAAAATTTTAACATAATAATAATAGTAATAATACTAACATTGGGTAACGAGCGTTTTGTTAAATTTACATAAATAGGTGGTCTTGCCTAATTTGGTTGATGGAATTTCAAATTTGAAATTAGTTTTGCTCCTAATGCAACAGATTGTTTTCGAAATGCCATTCTTAATATATTTTTCGTTGAATTGGTCAAGTTAGAAAACGTTTTGTGTAACAGGGGATGAAAGAAATGTTGCGGCAAACTTTTAGAGAAGTTAGGCAAGGATTAAAACTACATAAGAACCCATGCTTCTGTACGCGGCTAAAGGCACTTTCTTATTATATTCAGAGAAATATGCTGGGTTGCCATAGGCGACTAAAAATGCAGAAAGTGCTGATTAATAAAATTAAAAATTTTATTAAAGGAAAACAAAATGACTGACTTTTTATCACATTTTTTTCATGATGCAAATTTTGATTTGATATGATTCGTAGGTTGATTCGTAGTACTAGCCCTCGGTAATGTGCCCTTGGGCGACTGAGACTGGCTGGCATTAGATTCAATCAGCTATCGAAAGTTGTTTTAAACATGAATAATATGAAATATAAGTCATAGTAATAGTCATAATTGGATAATAGATAATAAATAAAAATTAAGTTTCTACCTCTAATTTACATTTTCAACCGCCTGTGGCATCCTTGCACATGAAGAAATAATTCATAATAGGGAAGCACCCCCCCCCCCANCCCCCCCCCCCCAGCCACGTTCCTGCTCAATTTTAAGCTTGATAATGTGCCCTAACTCTCCAAGAAGTTTTTTGAAAAATTCTCTGCTGCATATAACGTTCCTAAAGTATATTTCAACAAAAAAATAGATTAAAAATTGTGTCATTAAAAAAATTGTAGCTTAGAGAGAGAAACCAGGAGCAGATTAGAAATCAGTAATACGAAAGTATCTGAGTTCTGTAAAAATCTGTCTCATTCGACAGATAGCGAAAAGGGGAAGAAAAAAATGCGCCCTAGTGTAATTTATGACATCTTGAAAACTGACTATGAACTACGTGACCAAGGTCCAAAATCAATGAAAATATTTTTCAGACTATGACAATCAAATCAATTTATTAGTTTTTGCCTGCCATTAAAATTTTGTCTATACTTATTTTATTGACAATTTATGTTTTCAAAAACGCAATAAGAACTATCAAAATTAATCTCTTTTAAATTGTTATATACTTTATACCATATTTATGTGCGAAATGAAAGAAAAATAGTCGAAACATCAGTATTGTGAGAAATTAATTGCAAAAAAGTGGACTAAATATTACCTTTGTTGGTTAAATGCAAAATTCTGCGCACAATATAAACAAATACAATGAAAGTTGATGTTATCTTTTTAATACGTGATCTACTTTGCATAATATTCTGCTTGCTATAACCAAAATAATGGAACTACCAGCGAGAAAATCATTTTTGTTTTCATTCTTCCCTCGCTCTCGCTTTTTCAAAAATATTCACTCTTACTTTTCAATGAGAATATTTTTACTTCGAAGGTTTCTGGCGTACAATTACTTTAACTTTGACTTCTTTTATTGAAAAAAAGAAAAGAGTCAATAGAGATGTCTTAGCAGCCGTTACTTAACTTACATGCCCAATGGAAAAACATCAATCATCAATGAGTTTAGCAACCAATAGGGACACGTTTATGATATTATGTAAACATGAATCGTCCAACAAAAATGGTGCAAACGACAATTGATTCCTTTATTCTACTCAGTGATATAGTTCAGCCTCTAGCTTAGATATCTCTATTATGTAAACATCAAACTCAGAGTTTTAAACAGTTTTAAAATACAGAGAAATACATAAAGAGCAAGAGCATATACGTATCCTCTAACATTTGACTTTTTAGAAAATTATTTTTTCCAACGGTAGTGTACAATGCACTAAAAGATGAACCCCCTGAATGTCTTTTGATCTAATGATCGGATTTTCACGTTTTAAAACTTAATCTTAATGGTTCGAGGGGATGACTTTAAATATGCTAATTAATTAGAGCAGACGATATTTTAAATTTTGAAATCAGACACAAAAACGTACTTTCACTGCATAAACATACGTTTTTTTTCGACGGATTCGGATTTCTGCCGAGGGGTAGCCGCAATCTGGTAAATATGGTCCAAAAAGTTTGGTCATGAGAGCAACCTAAACTTTAGATCTCTCAAGTTATTTTTACTTTTGGCGTATTTCACCACATCTCGAGCAATATTTAAAAAATTTCACGCAATTATAAAATTCCAATGTCCAGAGATAAATCCATGCAAAAAAAATATTTTAGTAAATATTTATTTTATATTATTTTATTTAATAATATTCGAGAAAAGTTCGAATTTCAAGTTATACAATTTTTTACAGCATTTTAGAGCATGTAATTTTGCATGGCAAAATATAAAATTAGAGCGAAATCGGTAAAATAGTTTCTGAGAAATCAAATTATAAATATAAGTCTTTTTTACGTAAAAAAAATTCTTACAGCTTATACTTACATTAGTATATTAGATACTTTAAATAAATAATCCCAAGAAACAGAAGAGGTAAGATATTATTTAATTAAAAACTTCACTTGCTTCAAAAATATGCAAAATGAAAATAACAGTGGACTTGTTTTAAGCGTTGAAAAAACAGGCACCCATTTTATCGACTTATCAGACGTGAATGAGAGTTTCTTAACCCTATTTAAAAATAAAATTGGGAAAAAAGTTTTTCTCTTACTGTTGTTTAAGATTTTTTAAGTGGATGTTAGATATTTTCGTATTGTGGATATTAAATCAGTAGATGTTTTTTTAATCTAAGTTACAGTTTGTTTTTTAAGTTACATTTTTCGGCTAATTTCGTCGAAAAGTACAAGTTTAAAAACGTTGTGTATTATAGGGGAATACGTCAAGGTTGCACCAAACATCCGAGGTAGCTAAGGCACATCATCATGGTTAAAATGGTATAAGAACCCATGACCGAAAATAGAATCATACGCAGATTGGAGCACTTCCCTAAAACTGTTTCTTCGTGTACTTCTGAATAAAACATTACAGGAAAGCTCCCCTAGACGGGTACGATGGCATTTCCGGACTCAGGTACCTATGCTATTTTATTTCTAATGATGTGCTCTAACTTTTCTTGAAGTTTGCTGTATATTCCCCTGTTGCATTAAACTTGTACATTTCGACATAAAAATGGACTAAATTAAACAAAATTTGCAGCTTAAGGATCAAAACTGATTTCAAGTTTTAAATTCTCGCTCCCGAATAAAGCAAGATTTGTATAAATATAACAAAATATTTATTCCCCGGTGTATTTAAACTAAAATGTAAGGCAAACGATTGTTAAAAAAAGCTGTTCAGTATAAATTTGATTCAACAATATTTGATTTAAAGCTCATTATTGAAATGTATCAGAAGAAAAAACTCAACTTTAGTACTCTAAATGTAATTGCAGCATTAAAAATAAATAAATAGAAACTAAGAAAATTACGACAGAGTAAAAAAATCGTAAATAATACCCTTAAAATTTACAGCGTGAACCAACTGCTTCATTTTATTGCTAATCGAGGGATCTGTTGCAAGTAACTTATGAATGAAACTTTCAAGAAAACGTTATGATGACGTCGCTGGAACGTCGTTAAGTATTATTCATTCGTTGTCTTAAGTATATGTTAATATTTGACGTCACCTAGTTGTTTCAAATGGCATAACAATGGGGCACCTGCTAGTGACATAGTATGGGTTTCTCGATCCTGATTGGTTGTTGAAATGTGGCATTTGTTTATGTTACCAACTGTTTTTTCCATTTAATATTATGAGTAAGCCAAGTCTGTCAAGTGTCAACTCTCTTAAATTGCGCATTCTTTATTCTTTCACAAGGATATTTCACAATTCTTCAGCCATATAATTCTTATTTAACACAAATGTAGATCATAAACGAACTAATCATTCTTCGAAGATTCCAGGTACACGAAACAAAAGTTTATCACTATTACAATAAACTACACAAACAAGTAAAAATTCTAAGTTAAGTAAACGACGTAGCCGAGAAAGAATTAAAATTTAGCATAATCGATGTGCGATACGGCGTTGCATTTAACTAACTTCACGTTAACTAGTATTTTAATTGTTGTGAAAAAATTTAAATCAACTTTAACACTGCATCTTGTTTATAAACGATCAACTGACACTAAGGTCATAAGCCACGTGACTGTGTATCAGTCATAGTCTTCTTCTCGAGTTTTTGTACCAAATTATTTCCAATTTATGGGAATTTATTCATTCATTTATTTTTAATGTATAGGAGCTTTGTTAAAAATTTTAAAAAAATACACTGACTAACTGTTGTGCTAAAGAAAATAATTTATTTTTAATTACTTGAATAAATGCGACTAAAACAATTTTTTTTAATTCAAACCACATAAAGTTTTTTAATGATCAATATGAATTAATTCAAAAAATCCTGACATAGGTCAATCATCTGAAATCCTGCATGAGTCCAAGATACGTACCTCTCTAATTTCCCAATAAAGGGGTTCAGGGTAAGGAGGTTGCGAACTCAGTCTGAACCCAAGCTGTTAAAAGAAAGAAAATTATGTTAAAAGATGGATGTTGCGCTAGACTAATATTAGCTGTGGCTTTACAATAGATATTCTCTAGTAAAGCTTTTTACATGATGAGAAGCCCAAACGTGTTTTTATAATATATAATAATAACATACAACGTGTATAAGTTAAATATATCTTGTTTTTTAACGAATTGCTTTTATTAGTTAATTTATAAGTTTAAAACATTGATATAAATAATTGATAAAATTTTTTAAAAAAACAGTTAAAGATTGATTGTATTGGTTTAGGTCATTGGATCTGAATTGGAGATTGATCGTTCTCTGGTTCAGGTCAAAAATTACTACTTGTTGATAAATGGAGTGTGAATGGGTCCTCCCGGTAAAACGGGCCATGACGTGCANTTATCGCTATTTTTGTGATTTTTCCTTAATTTATGATAACCAGTGTATATAATAATAACATACAACGTGTATAAGCTAAATATATCTTGTTTTTTAACGAATTGCTTTTATTAGTTAATTTAAAACAATTTAATTAATTAATTAATTTAAAACATTGATATAAATAATTGATAAAAATTTTTAAAAAAAACAGTTAGAGATTGATTGTATTGGTTTACGTCATTGGATCTGAATTGGAGATTGATCGTTCTCTGGTTCAGGTCAAAAATTACTATCTGTGGAGGAATGAATGGATGTGGCGTATGTGGGACGCAGAAGTCGAATTCTCGGCAATAGATGGCGCCACTGGAAACCAAGAACAATCACACTCCTTCTGCCTTAATGGCCGACGACAACAACAATGGCAAACACAAACAATTTGCCGTAGAAAACTACTAATTTTACTTTCTTTTAAGAGAAGTTAGAATTTTTTAAGTCAGCACTTTTTGCATTTATAGTCCCCCGTAGCAACCCTGAAAGCGTAGACATTCTTCTATATATGTATTTTTAAATCTGTAATAATTGCTCACTCTTTAATACTATTTCTGTGAAACAAAGATGTTTGCTTTACCACACAATATATCAGTGCACTTATTGCCAAAAAAAAACTACCCTAGCACCCAGAAAAAGTTTTAAGAATGAAACGAGTTTTTACATACGTAAGTACAACGTCAATATAAGTAACTGATCAAAAACTCAAAGCAAAATTATCATTCATTACATTGTCACATCTATGACGAATTCAGGAAGCTCTACGTTCGGGCACTGAAGCATGAAGGTTCCTTATGATGTTCTGTGGCATTTCATTTCACAGTTGCTATAAAAACACCTCAAAATTGGCTAAACTCGAATGCTGTTTAACTTGCCGTCGTCAGTTGTCCCAGTGGGAATGTGGCGGAGGCATTGAAGTGAGACCCTTGCTAAGTGTGACGGAGCATTACTACGTTGCAAAAATGAATTCTAGGAACCCTGATATGAATAGCAACACGAGTGACTACACAATGAAATAGGAAAACAAGTGGCATGTCACATACGAATCGCTGGGCAGTCATTTCACCGGGGGTCTAAATAAGGGGTAATCGTGTCTAGAAATGCGACTGCATTTCATACCACCCTATTAGCACTGTCTGTAGAAGCGGTGTCTTGGTGTACAGTGTAAGCAGGATTGTCCCCAACCGTTGCCTCCGTTCGGAATAGTGTCACTATCTCGACAGGATTGAACTGGAACCAAACGAAATCAGGTTGTCTTTACTGATGAAACTGTATTTAATTTTGGAAGTGATGACCCTCATGTCCGAGTGTGGTGACTTCGTATTAAACACCTCAATCCTGACTAGGCTGTAGAGCAGTACACCGCTTCAAAAACTGGAATTTTTCTGAATGCCTTACTTTTAAACTATTTACCACTGTATCGAATATTTTGCAAAAATCGTAGTATTCGGTAGCCCTGCCTTTAACTCACCCTTGTGTGGGCGTCAATCTCTAACGGAAGGTACATCCTTACAAACTCCAATGAATTCCTGACAGCCTGATCAAACTGAATGTAGTTCTTGACTCGAAAGATGTCTAAAATTGCTTCTAGGGATCCTAAGAATTTCGCCTGAGAAAACTTCGTATATCCGACCCTGTGAAGGACAACGAGGCAGGAACCTTTCCTGGAAATTATCCAACCAAGGAAGATGAAACTCGCCGCATATTCTTGCCTGGACAGTACAGTGGCGAAATAATTACCTGGAATACAACACATAAACACTTTAAGAGAAAGCCTTGCTCTTATTTTATAAAGTAAATGATAATAATAATAATTTGATTTTTTTTTTAATAATTTCGAAGAATATAAACTGGATACAGTCTTTTTCATCATTAACACATCAAGGTCAGGGGGGAAATGGGGCCGAACGCACCACTACGAGGTTCCGATACTTTTTTCAAGTCGCAACGTCATTTTGAGAATTTAATTTGTACATATTTTTATCAGTAAAGAAAAAGCGGAATACGTATTATTAAGGATACTTATTATTAGGGAAATTATTAGGGATCCTAAATAAAAAGGGTTATGGATGGTTGCCAGCTAATTACGGCTCTCCAACACAGAGGGTATTTGGTGGTTGCCGGCTAATTACGGCTCTCCTACACAGAGGGTATTTAGTGGTTGCCGGCTAATTACGGCTCTCCTACACAGAGGATATTTGGTGGTTGTCGGCTAATTACGGCTCTCCAACACAGAGGGTATTTGGTGGATGTTGGCTAACTACGGCTCTCCTACACAGAGGGTATTTGGTGGTTGTCGGCTATACTCGGTTTTATAATTAACCTTATTAATTAGCACTGACACGTTTAAGTAAATACGTGTACTGTTGTAATTTTTGTCTTAAATGTGTAAAGTATAAATACTGTTCACATATTTGAAACATTCGTGTACCCGCATACACGAAAATTCCTATTGACTAATCCTACTTCGCGGTTTTTCAGCTTTCGCGGAAGGTTCTGGTCCCCATTAACCCCGAAAAACGAGGAATCACAAGACAAACCAATCATATTCATAAAATTAAAAAAAATTCTTGACCAAACCGTGTAGTGACCTTCAGTTATTAGAGACGATTTCAGGGGTAATTTACTAACCAGAGAAAATAACATACAGGGATCACATGAGCACGCTGGTATTTTAGAATTGTTTTTGTTTTCATTTCAATTTTGACATAACTAATCCACACCAGTTTTGAGTGTGTTTGCATAATTTTTATTTCAAATTTGGTAATGGAAAATAAAATAAGGCAACGCAATGCTACCCTTACCAAAAAAGAAAAAAATATATATCACTTACCCGCTTCATCCATTCAGCGCTTGAAATTAATATTTTATTTTGAAAGTAATTTAATGGAACTTTAAAATAAACTGCACCATCGTCATAAAATTGAATAAGTAAATCCGAAAAATAAAGTAGAATTTCTCACCACCGTAGGCAGGTATGATTCTCCATTTATCAGGATTGGTGACCGCATAATTGCAGTTGGAATCATAACTTTCAAAGCTGCAGAAAAATCGATGACTCTGTTTTGGCAGATATACTGGCGCGTAGCTTTTCAAACCTTAAAATAAGAAGACATAATAAAATCCAAGTGTAAAAATTCAGAAGTGGTCAATCAATAACCATGAGGAAATTTTTTTTGTCCTCTAATTCCAGACATTTTTAACGCGTTGAATTTTACATAGCTTTCCCGTCTGGCCAAACGATAAATAACTACAAATTAAATTTGCTAATATTCGACAGATTTTGCTAGTTTTTTAAAGGGATTAGCATGACTTATAAAAAATAGTGATGAATTATGTAGACATATGAATTGCTTAGAAATAGTGGTGGAAACAAATCTACTCAATTGAATTTATTAAACCAAGAATCACAATTAATAAACTACCACTTGAAAATATTTATTCGCTGTCCGGAGAAAGTTGGCATCTCTGCGTATATAAATAAAACTATTTTTGTGTGTTCTATATTGCATTCATTTCTTCAAACCATTTTAGTAACGATAATATTATTAAAAAATTTACTCCAATAATGTGTTTTTAATATTCTTGGCTTCGGCGATCACCGGTGACCTCCATGGCGCTGCGAACAAACTCAGTGCCTGTCACCGGTGACCCCCATGGCATTCAACTTGTTAAAGAAACGCCAAGCAGATTCTCTTCACTAGTTACAGTTTTTGTAGTCCAAACCATGATTTTTTGAAATTCACTAGAGCGAGTACTAAGTATCCTGGATGAGGAGTGAGAAAGCTACTTACGACAAAGTCCTGCCACGCACTCTGAATAAAGAGGACACTGAGAACAAGGTGACCCTATAGCGTACAAGTGAGGAGGATCATGGGGATTCAAGTTGTCTCTGAAATCAATAAACAAAACATAGACGTGGTTAAACATTTCATCACCAACTAAATCAAGTGAAGAAAAAACAATCTCAATCTATCTGCATATGCTTAACCGTATAATCATAGCTTAAAATGTGTCATTAAGAAAATGGACATAGATAAAAATGCGTGATAAAGAAATCGGACATAGTTCAAAATGCGCATTTAAGAAAAAGGACACAGTCTTAAATGTTTCAGGAAAATGATATAGCTTAAAATTTGCAGATAATAAGAATAACATGGCCTAAAAAGTGAGATTAAGATAATAACAAACATAATAATAAAAAATTAAGGAGTAGAAATAAATTCGTGTCATAATGCTATCCATTAGCATAAATTTATATTTATTTATTTTCTTAAGTTGCTATTTTTTTAAAGCATGCAGCTGTTTTTACAGATTAGCACTCGTATTGTAAATTTATATTAGTCATTGTAAACATAAGCAGAGATGCCAACTGCTCCGGAAACGCCAAAATAATTAAAATAGCTGTAAATAACTACAAAGAAAATTTTGCAAATACTTGACTATTCTTGCTTGTTTTTTAAAAGTCTAGCATGACATAAGACCGACGACGATCTGTAATTTGTAAGATGCCTACACGCGTGAGCGGGCACCAGACCTTTTAGTCTATATTATGCCCAAGGGCGACTGGTACTAATGGCATAAGGGAAGAAAGATAAATGGAGGAGTTCAAGGCAGTTGGCGGCTCGAAATATTTGCATGGGCAGCTCAAGTCATGAATGACATAAGACCTAAAAGTACAAATTATTTAGAAATAGTGGTGGAAAAAAATTTGCTAAATTGAATTTATTGAACCAAGAATTACAATTGATAAACTACCAGTTTAAAATATATATTTGCTGTCCGGAACAAGTTGGCATCTATGCATAAGTTAATACTTTTTTTAACTTTGTTTTTCAAATACCACTTTATCGTTTAAAGCAGTGTTTCCCAAACTTATGATTTTGTGTACCCTTTCTAAATTTTTCGCAACACTGTATACCACTAATAAAAAAATGAATGCATTTTTTACAATAAAAAATTGCACGAAAGTTAAAAATCACAACTGGCTGATGATATTACCAATTATTAACTGTTAACTCTCGTAATGTAATCGTAAATTTTCATGGCTAGCTTTATTTTTAAATAAAATGTTTCGAAATGTTCGTTTGTTGCTTGACGTTTTGCATAAGAATGCGTCCCCTCGCTAAACTGTTCCCGTACCCTTGGGGGTACGCGTACCACACTTTAGGATGCACTGGTTTAGAGATCTAAATACGAAGAGGTTATCTTAAAAGTCACTTTCGTAATATACTCAACCACCCTGATTCTTCAATCCAAAATAATTGAGCTCCGTAATAATTGAGAATATTTTCCCCGTAGTAATTTACTCTGTGATAATGACGCTTGTTTAAGAGTTCAAAAAACTTGGAAAAACCCCTACGTCATTTCTTAAAATTTGGGTTTTTATATCGAAAGGTGCATTTTCTGCAATTTTTTGACCATTTATATTTTTTATATACGCATTTCAATTTTATGTTTATTTTCTTGAATATATTTTTTGAGCTATTCCCATTTATTTAAATACGCTTTCAATCTGAGTTCAATTGTCTTAAATAAGTATTTTATGCTGCGTCTATTTTATTAAATACGCATTTCGATCTATTCAATTTTCCCGTTTTCTTAAACACGCATTGAAAGCTGTGTTCATTTTCTTTAATTAAGTATTTTGAGATATATCCCTATGGCTCTGAGGCCTGGAACCTAACTCAAGCTGGTGAAAATAAAATTGCCATTTTTGAGAGAAAAGTTTTGAGGGCCATCCTTGGTGGGATAAAAATAAATAATTCCTGGAGAAGACGATATAATACTGAACTGTATAAAATCTACAGAGAGCCAGATATTGTGAAATTCATTAAAATAAATCGAATGAACTGGGCAGCTCACATTTTCAGAAGGAATGATGACTCAAATTTAAAGAAAATCCTATTACACAAACCCCTAACGAACAGGAAAAGAGGTAGACCCAGGCTGAGATGGCTAGATTTAGTTGAGACTGATTTCCTTACTGTAAAGGAGAAAAACTGGCGAACAAGTGTCAAAAGTAGAGAGAAGTGGATTCGAATTCAAAGGAAGGCACTGGCCCTCCCTGGGCCAGTGCCTTCCTTTGAATATCCCTTTAATTTGATATTTAATTTGATATCCCTTTAATCTGATTTCCCTTTGATATATCCCTTTAATTAAATACGTTTTTTGATTTGCGTTAATTTTTTTAAAAACACTTCTTTCAGAAATTCTAATACCTTAAATTCGCTGTTTGAGCAATTTCCATATCTTAAAAGCTTTTTTAAAGCAGCGGCCAATTTGTTAAATACTCATTTTTGCTATGTCAATGTTACTGTCATGCCTCCATGTTGTGATGGAGCTGCGATCAAGTGTAGATGTAGTGAAAAAAAGATATATAAGAGTTAGCACGAAGTGGCTGTGAGGTAAAGATATTTTTTTGGAGCAGTCTGGGACTCTGAGATATCATTGTTTGGACAGTGCGATATCACAGTTACTAAATAAGCCTTTTGAGCTTTATTCATTATTGTAAGACTAATAGTAACCGACCTACCCCCGAAAGAGTTTTCGGATAAGGGTCATTATTTTGAATGGGCATATAAATATGAAATGCACCGGCGATTTCTCAAGTTAGGGCTTGAATTTCCAAGCACATTTAAAAGAACTTATCTGTCCGGAAACATAAACAGGGATTGTCGATCCATTCAGAATTAAATTAAAGCAATAGTTACCCAGGTCCATAGTTACAGACATATTTGAATTCATTAACAGCTGGATTCGTTAAACTTCTGTATGCCGCATAGCCACAACCAACTTTATGGATTCCTGCCCACACAAGCTGAAATTTTCACGATCAAATCAATAAACTAAAAACGATTACAATGTCAATATCTAGCATCAAGTTCTTTATAATAAATCTGGTTTAGATACAAAAATGATAGAATCTCTAACACATACCTGCCAACTTTCACTCTTTCTGAAAATGGATTTTCAGAGTGGTTGTCAAACAATCTGACTCAAAAATATATTTATATTTTGACCCCGTTGAAATTCGCTTGCGCAAGGATTATTCTGCTTTTATATATTTATTGTAATTCTTTATATGTAGTGGTGGTCAAATTCATTTATAATTATCATTATAATTCAAAAAGTTAATAGGAATAACCTGAGTATTGCTACCACTTTAAAAATGAAAATAAAATCTTCCGGAAAATCCGGAAGAGTTGGCAGGTAAGCTAACACTATTTTGCATGTTCAAATTTACATATTGCTCCTTACGTAAATAAGATATAGAAATTTCATATGACATTGCTTTAAACACACAAAAATATAAAATTACGAAAGTGGTTGATAACAGATATAATTTCGAAAGGAAAACGCGTGTTAATTTTAACAAATAAAAATTGTCCTATCAGTCCACGTCAAGTTTCAATTCTGTAGTTGCATTTCTGTAGAACGTGAAGTATACTCCACGTTTGACAGCATAGTTTATGTACAAATGATGAACTTTTAAATTTTTATATTCCATCGTATTACCTTCTACGCATCTTCTTAATTTTCAGTTTCCATGTCATGGCGCGACAAAACTAAATGCAACGTAAAGTAATATAAAGCAAAAAAGGTGAGTAAATGAATTTATATTCCTATATAAACTTCAACTCCAAAAATATTTTAATTTGCTTTTACTAGATATAAGTAGCTCATTAAAGGGCTAAATTATTTTCTTATGCTTTTTACGAAATATTTTTACAACAAACTGCCATTTTTTTATTCATAAAAAAGCAAATAATCCAAATGCTACAATCGAATGTTGCTTAACTATTAGTAGACTAGAAGATTAGCTATGAATAGAACTATTGCTCTAAGCTAATGAAAGAGGTAAGTATTAAGCTATTCCTATAAGTTTTGAAACTGTTAGTTTTATAAAATTGTGTGTAATTTCATTGAATTCCGAGTGAAAATGATATCGGAAACATTCTATCTAAACACCCCCTTTTTTCGCTCCCCTTATTAATTTTCAGATAAGGAATATAGCTGGCATCAAGGAAGGGTAACTTCTGACATTCTCATAATCATATTAAGCCGAAATCATATTTTTTTTAGAACAAGTTACAGCTTTCTCTTAATTATTTCTGTACCCAACTCACACCAGTTGTTAAGTTGATCATCCTTCACAGCAGCAGTGTTTGCTTAGGATTATTCAATATAGCGAGAAATAATATTTTTTTCAGTCAGAAATGACATACTTATTAACCCTTTTGAAGGCCGTGGTAAGTATATTTACCACCGCGTTTCACCACTTTTAATTTAGGTTTCCATTTTTCAATAACTTCAGCTTTCTTGAAGTGAGTTTGAATAAAATTGGTAACCATTTGTCACTTTTAAAAAACGTATAAAAGTTATAAAATACATAATTCCTTTTGAAGTTTGTAGCATTTAAGGAATTTATTTTATAAATAAAGAAAAATAAAAGTCAGTAAGTTCCTAATAGGTCATGTTAAATATATTTATCACCAAAAAAATGGCATTTTTATAAACTAAATGAGTTTTTTTTTACATCAATTGCTGTTCTTAAAACAATTTCAATTCCAAAAATACTTTAATTTACCTTTACTAGAAATAAAGGGCCCATTAAAGGGTTAACTAGTTTCGATTATCAACACTTTCTATGACATTTCGTCATCCACTACGTAAAAAAAACATTTCAAAAAATTATACAAACAGCACTTTGTTCTAATTACCTCGTTATATTTTTATAATACATTTAAAATTTACTTATACAACAGATTTTAGTTTTCATTTGGTAACACTGTTACTTTAACAAGGTTTCTCGGAGCTCAGTCGCTAAGGAAAAGAAAAATGCCTCCGTTTAAGAACTTTACACCTTGAAGCAAAGTGAGTATTTTAAACTACATATATCATCTTACTGTGACGAATTATCTGCTCTTTAGAACGGACCAATAACTTAAATATTAAACTTTTTTAAAATTGCTGGTTTGACGAAATTTTTTCCACCCAGATTAAAATTAACTACCTTATTCCAAATTTCCATTACTATTTTTCAAATTTTTATGAGACCAGATAATGCAGTATTGGAGTATGTTTTTTAATATTAAAAAATTAGACCACGTTAATTAAACACTTAGTAGTTAATGAAATTGTCCCTTTACTGCATATTGACGTTTTGCGCCAGTTTCGCAATAAGCATTCCAGATAGCGCTGGCTTTAGATTTGCTTAACTTGTCGAGTGTTGATTAGCAGGCCAAAAAATAGACATTGTCTATTATTTGGCCATAATAGACATTGTCTATTATTTGACATTGACAAATGTCAAATAATAGACATTTTTGAAATGTTTTATAGAGTGGTAGTCATTTAAAATAGCTTTCAGAATTTTTAGTAATTTGGGCAACATTTTAAAAGCCTTATCGCGAAAACTAAGACTTGATATGTATTGTAGCAGAGTCAAATGAATAAAAAATACGACATTATAACACAAAATTAGTTACCAGTAGAATAATTTTTTGCAAAAGGCATCGAAAGTTGCAGTCCCGCATTGCAACTTTCTCGGTCAAGTTGTCATACTGATGTTCCGAAAAACAACCTTAAGATTTAAAAAACTTTTGTCTTGTTTGTTACATACTTGAACAAACGGGTGATATCTGGGATCGTATCTCATGGCTGAAATGAGACGTGCATCAAATTGTTCGACGGTTTTGTACCAATATTCCACCTGTTGCTTCCAGTCTGGACGGTAATTGGTCACATCCCATCTGTTGGTTAACTTCAACGTATTTTGACCAACAGTAAAATTTCCTAAACCAGGAAATAAAAGTTCATTTGAAAAATTTGAGTATCAAAAACTTTAACTGGAGTAAAAAATGAAAACAAATATGCTACAGTAAAAGTCCAGAATAATAACAGACCTGCCGATTCCTTATGTTATTTGCCGGAGGATTTTCGAAACAAACATGCTAACTGCTTAAGATTCCACAACTTATTTTACAGAAATGGTTGAGAACCGTAAACTTAACTTTGCAAATCTGTAGGACAGGGGTGGCGAACCTTTATGCTCCAACGTGCCAATTTTTCTAAAAGAAATTGTTTAATAAGGTCATAGACGTGCCGTTGTCTCAGTTATACGCGTAATTCAACTTAAAGTAACATCAGTGTGACTTCTGTTGTTGCAGATTAGATTTATACGAAAAACATACT